GAAGACAAGAGGAGTTGAACACTGTCCTCACGACCTAGTTATTTGGCTAATAAAACGTTTTCAATAAATACTCATTGGAAGAACAAACATTTACAGAATCATTAAACCCGTGCTTGTCCCAGAATTGTTTCCTAACAATAGTTTATATGAAAATCATATACCAGATTTTAGACAGAGGATATATCCTTGAAGAATGTGCATAACTCAATACTGATTTTTCCACAGAAGTTAATGGGAGATGCTTCCTCAAAATCCACAACTATTGTACATTTTTGCTTTCATGCTGCTTTTTATTTTCTCAAGATTATCACTAACATTTTACAGGGTCCTCGCTCTAAAATGTGCCACAGGAACTGTTTGTTTGGCCTTCATGACATTAAAGCCAATCTGAAGTTCATTCCAAAATGCCAAATTTTCAGCTCTAGCATTGTCACCCCCATTTAATGAGTGCTCAGGTGAGATTGCCTCAGAAGGTAAAAATATTTCAAATTATAAAACAGTCGATGTGAAAATAAGGAGAGTCAGGACTTTCCTGGCAGTCCAGTGGTTAAGACTCTGCGCTTCCAAGGCAGGGGGCGCGGGTTCGATCCCTGGTCGGGGAACTGGGATCCCACGTGCCCAGTGGTGTGGCCAAAAAAAAAAGAAAAGGAAGTAAGGAGATTTATCATCACAGGCACCTGCAGGAGCTCTAATTCAGGGAAGCCACAGCCTGGCTGACACAATGCTGACAAAGGGCTGCAGGTATGTTTTCTGTCAAAGTGCCAGTCGGCAATGGCATACACCAGTTTTACAGTCCTCTTGGCTTGCCAAACTTCAAACGAACTTTCAAACACTGGTGGTATTTCCATTATTTCAGGCTCTATACGTGATCTGACACATACACTTATACTGACATTTGCATAATTAAATCCACACAAATGCCACCGTACTGTGTGTCACTAGGTCACCTGTGTTTCAATGTGTCCATAAACACACCGCTTTACACTAAACAGAAGAACTAGTGGAGGGTGAGGCAGCACAGCAGCAGCGGCTCTGCAGCACCAGATGACCTGAAGTGGTTTGGGCAGCAAAATCAAACACAGGGATACTTCTTAAATGTAACTTGCTCCACATGGCAAGTGATGGAAGCAGTGAAATATCTGACTAATACCTAATATCTAATTCCTAGACAAAACACTTCAGTGCAAATAGGGAAGTGCTTTATTTACTCTGATCCAAGTCAAAGGTAGCTGGATAATTAGTTTTCTTTAAACAACATTCAGCTTTGCTGACATCTCATTTTCCAAAAGCAGCTGTTAGCCAAATATAGTATTGTTTATTCACTCCCTGGAAGGCTGTTTTTAAAAAGAGCTTCTTCTGGTAAAAATATTGCATCACATAATTGGAGATAACAGGAAAAGTAGGAGTTGATGTTTGTATTTAAACAAACATCTGCTCAAAAGTCCAGTTTTCTGTTTGTGAATAACTGCTTTATTTTGTACCATCAGGCACACTGAATGATTGCTGTTTATTCCTTGCTTTTTCAGCCATGCTAGGAAATATTCCAAACATGGAAACGCATGAGATATTTCTCTTGAAAAGGGATAAAAGAGATAAAGCTGAGTTCTTTGCCTTTTCCTTTATTATACATACGCCAGCTATTCCAGTGCCAGAGACCATATGAATATGTAATATTAACATCACAATGTTTATTACATGATACATGCTTAAATTGCAGTTGGACAGTTTCTTTTTTCGGTTTTTTTTAGAATGTGACTATTTACAAATACCTGTAACATCTGAGTTAAGCCCCCATTGCCCTCTGAAGGGAAGGAGAGAATGAGAATCGCTATTGCTCTGGCAAAGAGCACGCTCAGTACCTGTCGCCGGCAGTGTGCCCGGCTGGCACGCGCTCCTTGCGTTGTTGGCTATTTCACTTTTAATTTCTAGCAACTGAAAATCTACGCAACGCTCTCTGATCTGACTTCTATTTTCTCCTCACTGATTACTTGGGTTCTCTCCTGTCTGCACATTTTATCCTGAAAATACATAATTTCTTTCTTGAAGCCATTATTGACTCCCAGCTTCACTGTCAGAGGCAATCTAAAACAGAGCAGAAGTCTCTTTAAATTGGAAGTCAGAAAACCTAGGTTCTGTTTCTCACTCTGTTGCTGAAATCTGTAGGTTCCTCCTTGGGAAAATAAGGATTGAACCGAACAATGTCCAAGATCCCATTCAATTCAAAATTTTATTTCACTAACTTGGAAATGAGATTTGTTGCAAGTGGGTGGGTCACAGAGTGCCAAAATCTGGGGGGAGGGAGGTGAGATGTTGGCTCTTTAAGGTTATCCAAGCCGCTAGAACCTTCTGTTGGCATGGGTAACTAAGAGCTCTGAACATATAAATAACATTGCATTTGTCATCCAGTCCATGTGGCTTCAGATTGATGTTGACTGGTCTAAAATGTTTTGTGCCCACGGGGGAAATTGCAATCTTTCTATGTTCTGAACCATTTTCCATTAGCGCCTATGCATGAGAAGTAATTCAAACAAGAAGCCAAAAAGCATTTCTAAAACTATGTTCAAATTCTAGCAAGAAGATTTAAGATGGAGCAAATGTTCTGCTTCCCACTTGGATCTTTGAAGCAGTGAATGCAGTTCATGAAGAATAGATTTGTATTTTCTTGCACATAAATATGTCTGTCATGATACCAGAACCAGAGACAAATGGCTATGGTCGGTTGGGAAATGTATCTTTTCTGTCCATATTATAAAGTATGTTTTATGGTATAATTATTCTTGAGGTTTTATAGTTAAGGGCATTTTTATAGTATAGGAAGCTTCTGTCTATTGAAATAGCATAGGCCACTTAATTACTACAAAGCTCTTTACAAATACAAAAAACTACTAATACTCATTAGGAAACAAATTCTCCCCAAACATTCTGCTTTTGTCATTGCATTATTTCCTTAGCAGAAAAGTATAGCATGGTTTTGAAATCCTATCTCAAGGAAAGGCATGACTGCCCATAGAAATAAATGCTGCAGATTTTTACTCCTGACTGGTAAAGAGTAGGTACACGTATGTAAGCATTCCTCAAAAGTTTATAGGTTCTCTGAAAGGTCAATAGGAATACATCTATATCAGTACCATTCTACACAACCAATACTAGAAACAATGAAAACAATGATTATGAGAAATAAAGTGCTTTTAAAGGAAGATATTTATGTAAGGATTTATAACTATGAGGGTGCTTAAAATTCGGGGTTCCTTTAGGATTATTCATCCAAGTGTTATCTTGGTATTGACAGCTGTGGCTCTTGGGGTTGAAATGACAGAGCCCCAACTCAAACAAGATTAAGCAAAAAAGAATAAACAACCCACAACTCCTACCCCTACAAGGGATAGTGGGTAGCTCCGAATGTTAAGGCAGCACCGCCGGAACCAGGGACATCAAACTCCTGAGACTCTTTCTCTATTCACCACTTTCTTGGCTCAGCCAGTTCGGCAGAATGGGGGAGATGCCTCAGGCTTCCAGCCATGTCATCCCAGCTTAGCACTGTCAGCAGAAAGACGACTTCATTCTCTCGAGGTTTCTACAGCAAAAAGGACCCTCATGGGCCTTGCTTAGATCGTTTGCCCACCCCTGGACCAATTACTGCTGCTGGGTTATGGTTTACTTGTTTGTTTGTTTATAAAGGTCGGGTCACGGTTTACTGCACTGATCCAATCTGGGTCATCCGTATGAACAAGGAGCCGGAATTAAGCAGCACAAGAGGGCCATGTGCAACGTGATAAAAGGAGACAGTGCTGCCTAAAATGGGATAGCAAATGAACTGGACTGGAAGCGATCTCACCTTGGTCCTTTCAGCCTTGAGGTAGAGGTCTCAGGAGCTTCAGCGCTAATGAGGGCCTTGCAGGCCTGTGAGGGCTGGTTTGTACAACCCTGAGCTGGGTGCTCCTTGGCATCTGGGCTGCGCTGGCTTTAGCATTTGCCTGCCTTCTTCAGGTTCTTTCTTCTTAAGCTTTAGAAACTAAACACATGTTCACTTTATCGGTTTATTGTGGGAAACAACATGATGCCATGGAAAGAGAACAATGTGAAGCCAGAAAGCCCCCAGATCCTCGCTCCAGCGTTTACTAGCATTGAGACCTTTGGCAAATTATTTATGCTCAACGAATCTTAGTTTCACCATCTCTGTAAGGTACAGTTGCCCACTCCCTTACAAGGTTGCTGGGAAAGACAGGGAATGTATGTAAAGCACAGTGGCTGCTCACTATAGATGTTCAGTTGTTATTGAAGGGGAGGTGCCATAACCTTTGAGCAACCTTAAAGGGCTGGGATCGTGTCTAATGCTTGAGGTTCTAGACCAAAGCCTGTGAGGATGAAAGAACAAGACATGGCCCCAGCCCTCACTGGACTTAGAATTTAGTAAGGGAGAAAGTAAAAGTGCCAGAAGAGGTAATATAAGAAAAAAGTGCTGACACTTCAAAGGAGAAAGGAATTACCGTGTGCCAGGAACTTTACCCATATTCCCCATCTAGGGCACCTTGTGTTGCCATTTAACAGATTTAAGCACCAATTACTGTGGCAGAAAAATAGCTCTAACTGCCCAACTTTTGTAATGTATTGAAAAAAGAACATTTAGGGCATTCTGACAAGACATGTACTATATAACACATGCAAGATGCCTGGCAGCCCTATCTACATCCCTCACAACAATCCTACAGTCCTACCTATGAATTTATATAAATAAAGCCCATTTATTATCTCCATTGTGCAATTGAGGAAATAGATTCAGAGATGTTGAGTGACTTATCCAAGGCTACAGACAGAATTGGCAGAACTGGGAACCAAGTTCCAATATGGCTCTAAAACTGGAATCTTTACATTACACCGTTCACTTTTCTCAATTCTCAATGACAATGGAAGATTTAGGTTCGAATTCCAGTTCAACCTCGAAATGTATGCCTGGCTCTAGGCCAGTTTCTCCTTCTGCACTTCTGTGTTTCCTCTACAAATAAGCTGACCAAATAGCTAGGTTTCTGTTCAGTTCTCTAGAGTTCTGAGAACCATCCAGGCAGTGATTCTCAAAGTGTGGTCCCTGGGCCACCAGCAACATCACCTGGGAACTTGTTAAGAAAGTATATTCGTGGCTACGCAGGATGTACTGAATCACATGCTGGGGACGGTCCAGGAATCTCTTAACAAGCTCTCCAGGAGACCCTAATTCAGCATTCTCAGGAATGCTGGTATTGTGATACCTTTTTTCCTCCTCAACAAGTCTATGACTCTCAATGCATCTCTTCTGAAGCTTTTAAGGCATCTTAGAAACTTGATATTTACATGACAGCATGGGACTAAAAACGTCTAGTCTTGCTTCCAAATACTTCATTAAACTTCACTCCTTTCTCCAAAGGGTCTAAAGTTACAATCCTTGTCAGTACCATTAATATCCCACCTGAGCCTTCTACTAGATGCTATTTTTAGGTCGGAAGTACCTCTCTCTTCAGGGACTTTCACCCTTGATCCCTCCATCCCTCGCTTTCCCTTTAATCATTCAATACTCTATCCATCTTGTCCCAGACTTATTTAAACAATGCCCACTACTCTCTTAACTCCATAGCCCACAAACATCTCTAATTGTCTCTACTCTGTCCGCAAAATGTAAAATGATCCGAGGGTCCCATGGAACCTCACCGACTTCAGTTTGAATATGGCAACATTTAAAAGGCGTGGAACTGAAGTTGACCTATTATGAACTACAGTTTGCTAAAGGCACTAAAGTGGAAGTGTATTCCACCTAGTAGAACTTTCAAGTCTCCTTAAGTACTTTAAAAATTACTTTTTACTAATTAAAAATTATTTTAGTATGTTAATCTAAGTCCCCAAAAGACCTTTTATTAACTCTAAAACACTATCATTTTTTTTCAAACATTTAATTCACATACGCCATGTCCACACATAAATTAGTAAGATTTTACTACAAATTACGTATTAACTTCTTTGCACCATTACTGCCTATATATTTTAACTTTAACAGCAACAACAAAAAAAACCCTTCTCTAAAGCCTACGGACAATGAGAGGTAGAGCAATTGTCATAGTATATGGAAGTCGTCTATTGGTGATGAAATATACAAGCCCCTCCCCTCACTAAAGAGTACAGCCTGAAACAGAAATAGAACAAGTTAAAGATAATGCAAGGTGACATGAAGTTTTGAGACAACTAAAACTAAATGTCGGTCCAAAGTTGTTAAACTCACCACCAACTGGTAATAACTGGCTACGTCAGAATCACCCTGGGGAAATTTTGAAAAGAGACAAATTTTCAATTTCAGAATTGTTCAGGGTGGGACCAGCATTAGTCTCAGGTGTTTCTAGCACACAACAAATATAAGAACTATTAGCTCAGAGAAAAGATCCACTTTAAAATTAATCAGAAGCACCATGGCACAAGCCAATGTAAAAATATGCACGAGATGAGGACCCAATTCAGTAGCTCTTCACCCAGTCACTCAAGCTGACATAAACACTTCACGTGGGACTACACAGATAGCTGGAGCAGGACGGAAGGGTGGTCACTCATTACAGCAACTGTTGGCAGTGTTCTACAGTCTCATTTCCCTGGTCCACTAAGGAGGTTCTCAATTGATGAATTACTGACTTTTCAAACAATTAGACTGCATGGAACAATAGTAGTGAGGATGCATGCTGCTTCTACCAAGTCCACAAGGCCCCAAACATTGGCGACACCAGTGCATCTATATATTATTGAAACAAAAACACCAAGAAATAATTATATAAGATACACCAGTAGTTTCAGCATGGGGGGAGGGTATGATTGATTAATGCTGACCCTGAACCGCTAAAGGGCTGCAATGCACAATTTGAAAAGTAGACTCACTTCAATACTTCACTTCATAGGTAAGAAAACACAATTCTGCAGATACACCACGTCACCATCTCAATTCAATCTTTGGTGTGACCTCTCATTTAACAAATTCCCGCCATGAAATCTCTCCACAGTATGACCTCAAATGACTTCCAAGCTCTGCATTCCCTTACTGCAGGCGGGCTTCCACCAAAGCACCTAGGACAAGGCCACCAAAACTCTCAACTTATAAGCCCTGTTGCCAAAGAAAGTGACCCATCCTTTCTCCTCAAGTGCAAAAATTCTAAGACAACAAGATTAGGTAGATCACCCATTACATGTTCAATCAACTGGATCAGTCACACAAGAATGCCCATTCTAGCCATAGGTAACCAGGAGGAAAAATAGAGTCTATGGGCAGACAATGGATAGATGTACACTAAAAATGATAAAACTATTTTCAGAGACATTTCTCTAGGCTATAACAAATAAATTAGCCTGCTTACAGGTAAAAATCACAACGAGCAGCATTATTAATTAAACAATTCCCAAAGCTAGTGATTTTAGCTAAATAATTTTACATTAGAACCTTCTAAGAAGGCTGCTAATAAACTAGAAGAAGGCTGCTAATAAACTAAACTATGTCAAAATTTACAAACCGAGTTTTAAAGTCAGGCTTGAAAGCCAAGATAAGCCACTACTCCTTTGTATAGTTATTACCTCTGACCAAGCACAAGAATTCACTCAGACAAATAACTTTCATAACCTACCTAAAAATAGGATAGCCCATAAATTTTCTAAACTGTTCTTCCCTGCTGTGGACAGCCCTTAATCTCTGACTGTAAAACTTAGCAAACTTTGGCATACGCTAATGTTAGTTTTATAAGTTACTAAAAACCTCTCTAAATTAAGCGTCAGTTCTCAAATCTGGATAGTTTTCTCATCTGAATGCCTAAACATTTAGGTCACGAATTGAAATACCAGTAGAAAAATATTCATCTTTGGGCAGGTTGTAGAGTTACCACATGGCAAGAAACTGACAAGAAAATTTAAACATTCAGAGCATAAAAATACTTCAAAGCATTATGAATTTTCAACTTAGCACACTTTCGTAAAGTTTAGTATTTCCAACTACAGGAAAAGCAGACTGCTGTAGGATTTTAGATGATTTAAGCTAACTCAAATTTTTCCCAATTCCTGACATCAGTACTAGATTTATATAGTTTTATTATAGTAACAAATAGTTGTTACGGTGGGATCTACAAACATATACAGAATTATTATATTTAAATTCATATAGAACAGTATTTACATTTTTAAGTTACACTTTTGAAATCAGAAGGTGAGGCACAGCTTAAATTTTACAACAAAGAAAAGAAAAATACACAACACAAAAACAGTTAACAGTAAAAATACAGCTATCTGTTCTCGACACAACACATGGAAACTCTGTCAGAAAGCTACATCTTCTTAATCTGATTGTCCAAATCATTAAAGTATGGATGATTCAGTGCCATTTTGCCAGAAATTCGTTTGGCAGGATCATAGACTAACATTTTCTGTGGGAGGAAAAAGATTTTTTAAAAGGTTAAGAAATAAACCATTTAAAAAAATCTCCAAAAAGCCTTACTTTTCTACCAGTAAGCCCTAAGCTAATAATTTTAATGAAAAACTACTAAATGAACATTTCTGTTAGTTTAATACCAAAGCACATAAATGTCTTACTTCACCCCCTAGCTCTAAATAATCTATTCCTTAAATCATAGATATCTTGATAACCTCTTTTTGCTATAAATTATGGTTCAAGACACAAGCATTCAGATAGTTTTAAAACCAAGGCATAAATTGAAGAAAGATTATCTAGTTAATTATATTTACTTTGAGAATTAAATGGCCCTCTGAGTTATTTACAGCATTGCTGAAGTGGTGGCAATTAACTATAGAGGTTTCTAATGTAGCTTCCAGCAAGTTCCAAATAAAAACAAAACCAATGTGTTATAAACATAGTTTAAATGAGTCACTAAATGAATTATGGTCAGACAACCTAGTATTAAAGTTTATTCACACATTAACAGAAAAGGCTGAATAAAGTTAAAATTTATCTTAAAGAAATATTATTAATCTTAAAGAAAACTAAATCAATAAGCAGACCCAGAGATACTTTTACTATCTAGTTACCATTTGAGCTCTTATTATATAGCTAGCACTCTATTAAGTGCTTTGTACGTTTCATGTTACTTAATCCTCACAAAAAAAGGTAGGAATTAGTCCCACTTTACAAATAAGAACTTTGAGGCTCAAAGAGGTTAAGGAACCTGCCCAAGTTCATAGAGTTTAAGAGTGATAAAGCTGAAATTTGAAACCAAGATTGACTTAGGATTTACAGCAGTGATTGTCAACTGGGTGAGACTTTGCCCCTCGGGGGACATTCGGCAATGTGTGGAGACATCTGGGGTTGTCACAACTGGGAGGAATGTGTTAATGGCATCTATAGGACAGAGGAATGGGATGCTGTTAAATATCTTACAATGCACAGGACAGCCTCCAGCAGCAAAGAATGAGCCAGTCCAAGATGTCAATACTGGCTAGACTAAGGAACCATGATTGACAGTATGATTTTCATTTCATTAACTAAAGTGAAATTCTTCATGTTCAAGAATCACGGAAGTTAAAAAGACAGACTGGGCCAGGAATATAGAAGGCCTTTTACATCATATCATCAATATTAATGTACAAAATATCTGAGTGGCAGTAAAGGATCTTGGACTGCACTTGTAAGCATTTGGGAACTCTAAGCTGAATTTGGTGGCATGATTTATTTGTGAAGGTGCTCAAAGATCAGTTAGAACATGTGTATGATGATATAGCAGTAGATTTTTTCCTTTGTTTAGTAACCTGTCAAAATCTTTTTTTTTTTTTTTTTTTTGCAATCACATTAACTGAGATTCATAAAAACTAGTCCCTTCTAAAATCCCAGTATTGGACTTCCCTGGTGGCGCAGTGGCTAAGAATCCGCCTGCCAATGCAGGGGACACAGGTTCGATCCCTGGTCCAGGACGATCCCACATGCCACAGAGCAACTAAGACCGTGCCCCACAACTACTGAGCCTGTGCTCTAGAGCCCGCGAGCCACAACTACTGAGCCTACACGCCACAGCTACTGAAGCCCGTGCGCCTAGAGCCCGTGCTCTGCAACAAGAAGCCGCTGCAATGAGAAGCCCGCGCACCGCAATGAAAAGTAACTCCCGCTCACTGCAACTAGAGAAAGCCCGCGTGCAGCAACAAAGACCCAATGCAGCCAAATAATAAATAAAAATAAATATAAAAATAAGTTTAAAAAGAAAAGAAAAGAAAATCTCAGTATTTAAATACTGTTCTAAAACAAATTTCCTGAGGCAGGTCTAGGACAATTTTTATCCTAACAAATTTGTTTTTTATCTTGTTTTTAAAGAACACAACTGTTTAGTTGGGAACAGCAACGTAACAGAGGCGAAAGGTTTTAAGAACTACATTTGTCCTTCTGCTAACCTGTCTGATGGGGAAACAAGGCAAAGTGAGAAATGGGAATTCATGCAGTAAAGACTTTAAAAACTAAAACGACTGTGTCTAAACTAAAAAGCAGTAAATACTGAGACAAAAAACCTGGAGAGGAAGGCCACTCCAAGTCCACAACTTAAAGGTTTATTAACCTCATCCTCTCCTTCAGAGTATCTACAGCTACCTATCAGATTAAAAACAAGTGAACAAGGGCTTCCCTGGTGGTGCAGTGGTTAAGAATCCGCCTGCCAATTTAGGGGACACGGGTTCGAGCCCTGGTCCAGGAAGATCCCACACGCTGTGGAGCAACTAAGCCCGTGTGCCACCACTACTGAGCCTGCACTCTAGAGCTCGTGAGTCACAACTACTGAAACCCGTGCGCCTAGAGCCCGAGTTCTACAACAAGAGAATCCACCACAATGAGAAGCACGCGCACTGCAACAAAGAGTAGCCCCCACTCGCCGCAACTAAAGAAAGCCCGCGTGCAGCAACGAAGACCCAACGCAGCCAAATAAATAAATAAATCTATATATGGAAAAAAGTGAACAAATACCACATCCTCCTCTCAAAACCACTAGTGGTTTTTGTATCTAAAATGGAGCTAATAATGTGCTCACTTCGGCAATAAACATAACAGACATAATAGTTATGTGCCTGGCTCAGTATATGGTGGTTTTCTTCCTATTTCCTACGTGAAAGAAAGAATTAAGTACATTCAGAATCATGCACAGTGTTGAAGTCAATATAAAGGGCATTCCTTACCGAGAGCAGATCCAAGCCATTCTCATCCAAGTTTTTGACATGGGATGCTAAGCTTCCTGGTTTCCATTTGGGAAATGTATTCTTATAGTCCTGTAAAGATTCCACTTCTGGCCACACTTCATTATTGGGAGTACCCAAAGCTCTAAAAAGCCACAGCAAAACAAAAACTTATGGTTAAAGTATAAACATAACTCTTGTTATATACATGTTAATATAAAAGTTCTTAGTAGCTCAAGTATAAAACAAAAATACCTGAAAATTCTGAAGAGTTGATCGATTTCTGAATCCCCATGGAAAAGTGGTTTCTTAGTTGCTAATTCAGCAAATATGGTACCTATACTCCAAATGTCAACTGGAGTTGAGTAGCGAGCTGACCCCAGCAATACTTCTGGAGATCTATACCAGAGTGTTACTACCTATTACAAAGAAAATATCTTACTTGGAATAAATGTGGCACGTTAAATTACCTAAATGTAAACATTTCTATTTCATTAGGACTGTCCTTTAGAATGCTGCTTGATTGCCTCTGATAATAGTGTTTAAAAGTCAATTAACTATACACAATACTAAATGTTAGATAAATAATGAAGTATTTCTAAGTTATATTCATTAGGGGGAAAAAGAAAAAAGCATACCAAGTCTTTTCAAATCATTAAAATGCGAGGAACAAAATAGTCAAGATAGCCTTCACTTACAAAAAAAAAAAAAAGCCCAGTGATAATGGATTTGGGGTTGACACTGTACAAGTGCATGTAGCGATTACATGCTAAAATCAAAACGAAGTCAAACGACAGTTTATTAGTAGTCTAGCACCAATCTACTATTTTAGCATATCTAATTTATCACATTGGAGGTCAGTGGCATATGTTTACGCCAATGGAAACCAAATAATCTTTATTTATAGAGCCATGGGAAAAATGATAAAAAGGAATAATTAAAAGAAGCCAAGACATCTGACCAGATCAGCACTGTCATTAAGTTTTGATCTGGAGGAAGTCTTTGGGCAGAAGGGTAGACAACTCCACAGAAGACAAGGTTTCCCAATAATCCTTAACTATGTGAGTCAACATTCCCTTTCCCTCCAGAAACAGCAAACAAAATGCCAAGTCATCAATATAACACAGACAAAACTTGGTTATATTTAGAAGCTTCTAAATACATCTGAAACAGTAGCACTTAAGCAACAAAACCTGTCTTTTAACCAACCTTATTGTTTCAAGAGAGGATCCAATCAACAGACAGAAATCTCATGGTAATTTGAATGGGGAAAGTCTACTGTAAAAGATTAGTAACTATAACAGAGGATTGGAAGATTTAGATTGACTAGTAAGAATAACGACTCCTTCCTGTAATGCCTCTCCAGCACCCTCTACTGTCAAAGCGTAACATCACAGCAACTGGCAAAAGAAAAATACTCAAAAGGTTCCAGATACATTTTCACATAGCAGGCAATGAAGGATGACTTTGGAGCAGAGAGGCAATAAACTGATACTGGCACAGAGTGGAAATCTTTCTGATTGAGTATTTCTTTCTTGACTTAAAGAATATAGAAAACAATCCAGCAATCACACTTAACAAAAGCACCAAAAAACATACCTCATGTGTATATACTCTAATAGGTATTCCAAAAGCTCTGGCAAGGCCAAAATCTGCCAGTTTAATTGTTCCTTTATCATCAATCAATAGATTTTGAGGTTTTAAGTCTCTGTGTAGAACTCTTCTAGAGTGACAAAACACAATCCCTTGTAGGATTTGGTACAAATAACTCTGGAAGAAGGAACCATAAGTTAGAAACTTAACCATACCATTTAACAATTTTCTAAATAATCTTGGTGGCTTTCTTTCAAAGACATGAGAAATTATAATGCGGAGAAATAAACAATTTACAAAAAAAGTTCTCAGGGGCTTCCCTGGTGGCGCAGTGGTTGAGAGTCTGCCTGCTAATGCAGGGGACACGGGTTCGAGCCCTGGTCTGGGAGGATCCCACATGCCGTGGAGCGACTAGGCCCGTGAGCCACAACTACTGAGCCTGCGCGTCTGGAGCCTGTGCTCCACAACAAGAGAGGCTGCGATAGTGAGAGGCCTGTGCACTGCGATGAAGAGTAGCCCCCGCTTGCCACAACTAGAGAAAGCCCTCGCACAGAAACGAAGACCCAACACAGCAAAAATAAGTAAATAAAAATTAAAAAAAAAAAAAAAGTTCTCAGGCAATTTGAGACTAACAGGAAGTATTTGGGGGTGGGAAGCCCATTTATATAAGGTATTCATGTTTGTATACCTATGACAAAGATATTCACCTTATGGGCACATGTTTATGAACTCACTTATTCTTCTTTTACTTATTTTGGCCCCTAATTCTTAAGTTAGTTTTCTATATAGAAATTTTCTTAAACTTTTGTTTTATATAATTATAGCAACTCTATTTCTACCTTGAATAAGGTTAGTCTTTTCCATTTCAGCCTTTTATCTTTACATATTCATTTCCTCTTTGGAGACATTGGTCACAGACTCCAAAAGAAACAACAGAGAGAATATTATGACTGCGTATTTAAAGAGATACAATTATCACAAAATCCTGTTTGGTAAGTTCAGAGAAGTGTTTTATAAGATACTTGTTGCCAAGACAACGTAATTGACATTTGAAGCAACATGGATATTACAGAAATAGAAAATATACATAGTTATAGTATTGACTTATAAAGTTCAAAATTATAAAATACATAAAATCAATCAGTTGGAACAACTGGCTAGCCATTTGGAAAAAAATTAAGAACCCTCGTTCTTACACCAAAATAAACCTTTGATCCATCTAGAATTTAAGACAAAAGTAGGGGGTGGGGGTAATCTACTAGAACTACTAGAAAAACATTGTCATGTATTGTTCTAATACATGTGATCTTTGAGTGAGGAAGACTTAAATAAGACATAAAAAATCTCAAAGTCCAAAACTCATGTATAAGATTGTTAAATTATAAAAATTACTAACGGTGTACTCCATTATCAAAAGACAAAAAAAAGGAATAAAAGAACTATTATCAACATGTTACTGATAAGAGGCTCTTAGAAACCAGTGGAAAAAATATCCTAACAGGATCATCAGTGAAGAATATGTATAGGCTGTTTATAAAATGGCTAAGAAATGAAAAAATGTTAAATGACACGCAAAATGATATTAGTCTTTTTCACATAATAGATTATTATCAAAAAGATTGATAAAAACAAGTTTCAACAGTGAGGTATTAAAAGAAAATACACACCATGATGTTTAAGAGCAAATTGCTCTAATTTTTTAGAGGGCAAATGGCACTCTCTATCAAGATTTTAAGTGTAAATAAACATCTTCAACCCATTGATTCCACCTGTGAGAATCCATCCTATGAAGATGTATATGAAGATATAAAGATATTCACTGCAGCACTGACCATAAGGGCATGAATCACCAATCTGGAAAACAATTTCAATGTCCACCAGTGTGGAACTGGTTTACATAACTGTATCAAAAATTAGGAAGACTCTTGAACAAAATGGAATTGAAGAAAAAATCATAGTGGGGATTTCCCTACGAGGTGATATTACAAGGAATACTCATTACAGTTACGTTAAGATATAGATGGATGTCAAAAATAAATAATGTTTCTGAGTAAAAAAAAAAAAATTAGAAAGACAGGTAGGCCTATGGTCGAATAATGTTTTACACAGAAAAGGGAAAGTAATGCATATATATATATAAATATATATAATCCCATTTTTATAAAAACAGTATATGTATATACACATACAAAGTTGACATATAAGTATCTCTAAGATTACTAATAAAACAATGGCTACACAGGGAGATCAGCTCCATGCTTTGTGACCAGCTAGAGGGGTAGGATAGGAGGGAGACGCAAGAGGGAGGGGATATGGGGATATATGTATACGTATAGCTGATTCACTTTGTTATACAGCAGAAACTAACACAGCAATGTAAAGCAATTATACTCCAATAAAGATATTTAAAAAAAAAAAAAAGAATGCCTACCTCTAAGGACAGGTTTGGTAGAGATGGTGTAAGGATAATTACACATTTAAAATTTAAATGAAATTTAATGTCTAAAATAAATTAACCAAAATATATTTAAAACCAGAATAAAATGAAACCGCCTGCCACCATCACCCTGCCCCAGGCTTTTGCTACTTTGTTTTACATGTACCTGACTGCCAAATAAAGACCAGAATATCCTAGCTTCCAACAATGTAATAGGTACTTATTACTTTTTTTATCTCAGGCACTACTTTTCACTTTACAGCTAGAAGCACTATCTAGTAATAAAATGGGTAACCATTAACAGCCTAACCCATAGACTAACTGTGTGGGAGAAAACAAAATATTCTTTTCTTCCTTGTTCTACTTTCTAACACTTTCTCCAAGCACATTTTCATGAAACACAGGGACTTCTACAGAGTAAACACTTTACATTCACAGTGGAAAAATACTAATAAAATTAGGCAAGATTCTTACCTTAACAAGTGAAGGATCCATGAACTGACCAGGAGGGATAGAATCCAAGTATTTCTTGAGATCCATGGAAAGGAATTCAAAGATGAGATATAACCTGGAATCCTGCATAAGCACATCTTGAAGACTGAAGAATAAAATAATTATATGAAAATTTAAAACACTAACATTTTTGACCTCTCACAAAATAAAACTATTTCTATACATTTCACAGTTGCTGTTACAAAAAGTAGGGCCATAAGAAATTTTACTATACTGTTTTGGGAAAGAAGAGGTGGTAGCTTCCCTAGTTGTGAAAACCGTAGCACTAACCTAGAATTTGAGAAAGGAACCTCAGGGCAGCAATTGAAAATTAAGTCATATTATATTAGGCGCTAACTGGCAAGCGCCTTCTACTCCAGAAGAACGTTTCTAGGTTGACTGCTTGTTGCTCAGAGCTTGTCTTTCCATTGAGGTAAATAATAGAAACAATAGTATCTGACTTTACTAGTTGCTCACTATCTCTAGCCCCAGAAAAATGCAGTTAAATCCTGATTTGGAAAGATGCCAGTCCAAATACTAGGAAAGAAAAAGTTTTTCTTCATCTGACCTATCTACCTGTCTCAGGTCTCTGATTAAGGAGTCTTTAAGGATCAGAGCTCTCAGAGTGGGAGCAGTGTCAAAGCTCTGTGAAAGACTTCCTTTTCTCCCTTGACCAGTTTACCCTGATTTTCCAGCCCCCACTACTAATATTCATCACCAAGCTCCTCTAACTCTGTTCCTGCTTTACCAGCCTTTTTTTCTATGCCCAGCATTCTCAATGAACAAAAATAGTAGGGTTCTAGTCAGCTCAGCAAGGTTAGACCAGAAATTAAGCAAATGTAAAAGTTTCCACAATGAAATTCACATTTGAAATAGTATGCGGAAAATGATTCAAATTCAGACATTACACCATACCTGACTATATTTGGATGACGAAGTTCTTTTAATAGAGATATTTCCCGAATTGCAGTACTAGGAACTCCTTCCTCTTCACTTTCTAGTCTGATTTTCTTCATGGCTACCACTTGACCTGTAGTTTTGTGTCTACCCTTATACACAACTCCATAGGTACCTGAAATAGACAAAGTGTCTGCTATGTGACAACCTTCACAAACTAAAAAAGATTTTTAAAATGATTGAATCCCATAAGGTGTCACATGATAGAAATGTCTGCTGTGGCCAGATAGGAAGCATCTTGGTCATAATTATACCCTCATCACTTCCAAAACAACACTGAAGGTAACTAAAACCTATCATGGCTGTAGTTTAGAGAATTCATATAGTCATCACAGGTTTCCCATACATTTAAATTACCAGTAATTTTCCAGCACATTTTAGAGAAAAAGGATCGTTTGCAGATTGGAAGGTATCTCCTGTCAAATATCCTACCTGGCAACAAGGTAGGCATAAAATACAGTGCAAAGATTTGGGCTCAGGAAATATTACTAACAGGAGTCACTGTGACACTTTCAGAAAACTTCATATAGAGTGCTTCGTACGTTTCAAATATACAGTCAACAATCCTCATCTAGAAAAGAATGAGGATAAAATATTTTATTAAATATTTGATCTATTCAAGCTCATATCATCTACTATATAGCAGAAAGCCTCACATCCATTTGGAAGTTGAGAACACTGATTCTGATATATGGGCTTCAGATAATGAGCAACAATGTCAATATTGACATTGACAGGGATCCTGGAGCAGACCCCACTCAGGAAGATCAGTCATTTGCATAATATAGTCAAATAAACTGTTAATGGTAAATTCAGAGCTTTTTTTTTTAAGTATGCTTACCTCTCCCTCAAGTGTACAACATTCACCTGGTCCTAAAATTTACTCATAACAACCACTGATAAACTTATAGCAAACACTAGATATGCATTTTAAAATATATATTTATTTATTTGGTTGCGCTGGGTCTTAGTTTTAGCTTGCTGGTTCCTTAGTTGCGGCACGCGGGCTCCTTAGTTGTGGCTTGCAAACTCTCAGTTGAGGCATGCATGTGTGATCTAGTCCCCTGACCAGGGATCGAACCCGGGCCCCCCGCATTGGGAGCGCAGAGTCTTAACCACTGTGCCACCGGTTAGGTTCCTTGATACGTACTGAATTGAGTTTTAGACATCACAAGTGCTCTATGTCTCTCTTCTGACTCTTTTTGAACCATATCACTTCTCAATGAACTACTGGAATAGAGCGCTAGTTAAACAGAGCACAGTGATTCCACTGGTTAATTACCAAAAATTATTTGTGACATACAAGGTATGGGCTCTGAAATGAACTAAGCATTATAAAATTTTTAAATGTTCGATATGGACAAGTTATGGAGACTGAACAGTAAAGAGAAAAACCTTTGATCAACAAATGTTTACAGAGTGCCTACTAAATGCCAACTAAGGTTCCACATCATGGATATAGCTATGTTCTCTACAATCTAAAAAGACATTTCCTTAAGACAGGAAGGAGTTCCAAGACTAATGTAACAACACTCAGATTTTTGTTATTCAGAAGAAACCAGAGAACAACTTTGTAATAATTGAAATAAGAAGTCTGGATATATTTAAGAAATGAATTGGGCTGTCAAAAACTCAATGTCAAAGGGGAAAAGTCAGGTGGACAATTTTAAATCAGAAGACATTAAGGAGACATTAACCACCAAATGAAATGCATGACCCTGACTAGAACTTCAAGTATATATGCAGAAGTATTTAGAAGTAAAGCACATAATTCCACTGCCCTAACACCCTTCCCAACACACCTACAAGATATCAATAGTGTTTTCAAAATACAAATATTGCTTTAAGCATTTAGTATTAGAAGGATGTTAAGATTACTGGAAGGGGGCTGTTGGGGAGACATGGCAGAATAATTTCAATTCTCTTGAAATGTGAACATTTTTGTGTTTTATTATGTAGAGAACATATGTATTAATGCACTAATATACTGTTAGACGTACCTGAAAGATTGGATTTTAAAAAACTAACTAGTTAATTAATTTTTTTATTTTTGGCTGCATTGGGTCTTCGTTGCTGCGCACAAGCTTTCTCTCTAGTTGGGGCGAGCAGGGGCTGCTCTTCGTTGCAGTGCGCGGGCTTCTCATTGCAGTGGCTTCTCTTGTTGCAGAGCACGGGCTCTAGGCACACGGGCTTCAGTAGTTGTGGCTCGCGGGCTCTAGAGCGCAGGCTCAGTAGTGGCGCACGGGCTTAGTTGCTCCACGGCATGTGGGATCATCCCAGACCAGGGCTCGAACCCATGTCCCCTGCATTGGCAGGTGGATTCTTAACCACTGCGCCACCAGGGAAGTCCCAAAGATTAGATTTTAATGAATATTTACATGTCTTCATGTCAAGGACATTACAGCATCATTAAATCATTTTTAAAAAATCCTTTTATATTATTAAAACCACTCACCTTCTCCAATTTTCTCTATTTTGGTATAGTCTTCCATAGTTAATCAATGGGTATGGTAGATCCTAAAATGAGAGGAAAAGCTGATTTGATTACATGTCACTAACTCAAAGCGTGCTTTTACGTTATTAATGAGATACTATAAGTAAAGCATTTCCCACAGTGCCTAGTGCAGTATTAATTTTCCATGAATATTAGCTATTATATTAGAACAATAGTTAGAAGGGAAAGAACTCAAAGACTCTCCCACCCTTCTTAGTTTCTGAAACATTGGAAATATTTGTATATCCTATACCAGTGTAACATTTAGCCTCTTCCAAATTAACCCTCAAATTCACACATGGACTTACCTATTCTTCCCAAACACATCCCAGATGTTCTCTTTATGTAACACTTCTAAGGGAGCACCAGTGTGTGCCAGTTATACCCAAATATTTTAACAAGGTTATTTGACTGAATTTGTACAGCTTTATATTTTTATGAAGATAATTAAAAAAAAATTTTTTTGAAAGACATGAGTAGGGAGCTAAAATGTCACACTGCTCACCCATTAGAGGGTTTAAAGCAGCGAAAAGTATACGTGTTTCAACTTGCTCAAGTGACAGTTTTAATCTTTCTCCTGTTGTCAGCAGTCACATAACACAAACATGACAAAAAGTTTCAAGGTACTTTTTGTAAGGTAGGAAAGATCACTAAGCACTCTAAAAGAAAAAGTGCAATTCCACACATAAAATCTAATTATACCCCACAGAAATGTCAAGAACAAAGTAAAAAGCCATATACTTGAATCACAAAGAATGGTAAAAAAAAAAAAAAAAGAGCTGAAATGACAACCAGTTACTCAAGACTTCCTGGTAAGTCTTGGCTGGTAAGTTTGCAATGAAACAATAGCTCCAGCAGCCCAAAGCATCATTTTATAATACATCACCGATGAAACCATATATAAAGGTCACTGAGCCTGAGGTTATATTGACCCTTAAGTTATGTTTCTCACATTCTTCTTCAAAATCATTCCAGAAATAAGTAGAGATAAATCTTTTTAAATGAACAAAATTGCACTACCCTGGCCATCTTAAAAATGGTTAATTTTACAAATGACAGTGGACGATTAGGATAATTATCTTTTCTTCAATATCCAGATGTAATATGCCTAAAGCACAATGAAACTGCTGAGCTCACTTTAGACAAATAACTGAAAACCAACCCAATTTCAAAGCTTACTCTTCCACCCTTTCCTGGTTGTAACTATTTTAAATAAAGGATGCGGCCTCAGCATAGCTTTTGAAAGCCCCCTGTACGTGGCAGGATGTAAAATACCAGCGGCTTAATCCACCCAGAGACCTCCAGGTCGTTAGAGGAAGCAAGACGTGCACATTGGTAACTTTAGTATTAAATAAAAATTGATTAAAGGATTTAAAAACACACGTTTCTAACTCTCGGCATTTCTTAGATTTCCACTTTTTGCCAATTCCATAGAATGTAACCACCACCAAGCATAAAATAAAAACGACGACGACGACGACAACAAAAAATCCAAGTTCTCTAGTGTTCTATGCCTTGGCTAAGTGTTCTTAAAAGCTCTAGGAGGGCTGGGGTCATGGGCACAGAGGCAAGCCTGAGACGGCCCACAAGCTAGTTCATCCGATCGGTTTTCCGGGACAGCCTGTGATTGGGAACGGGCTTGGGTACCTGACCCAGGGGCGGTCTTGCTTTCCACCCCCGGAGGCGAGGGCAGGACGCACCGCGGACGGGCGGGAGCTGCAGGGCCGAGGGCCGAGCCTGGCACTCCGCAAGCGCTCGGCGTCGTCCAACCAAGGCACGGATTTGGCTTCAATCAGGACCCGGGAGCCTCCTCAGCCACCCGCGTGACCCCAGACTGCAACTCCAAGGCCAGGGCAACCCCAGCCCTGCCGGAGTAACCCCGCCGGGGCTGGGCTCCCACAAGCCTCCCGCTAGAGCCGGCCGGCGTCGCTCCCACGCCCAGGCCCCGGACCCCAGGTGAAGGCCCGGCCTGGCCGCACGCAGACCCCAGCCGCCTAATTATCACCCGGTTCCGTAATACACCCCCTCCGAGGCCCGCGAGTCGACGCCGGCCTGCCGAGTCGACGCCCCATAGGCATGACCCTGACCCCGGCAACTCTACCCGGCTTATTATCCCCCGGCGAAAGCGGCGGCGGCTATCACGTCAGCGGCGCTCTCCCCTAACTTCGAAGCGCCAGCTTTGAAGAGAAGTGCGAGCAGTTTCAAACTCACCGCGCTAAAGGGTCCTGGATCCACCAATCAGGTATCCCGTAGACTTTCAAAGAAGCCAATCAGTGCCCAGCTTCCCTTAGGCTGGGCTTTCCGGGTGGCTAGAGCGCGAAAGGCGGAGGAAACGGCGGCTGGAGAAAAAGCAGGAGGGCGGGCGCCCACTGAGTCTGAGCGCAAGCGCCGTCTTTCATTCCAAGAAAGTGTCGTCTTACTGTTTCTAGTCATCAGAAACCTGCTGTTCGCAGTGGGTTGGTTTCCCCCCTCCCAATATTGGCACAATTAAAATTTATTGTAATCAAATAGCTCATCACAAAAGCGATACTACACGCAATCCAAATCCCATTACTTTCACTTCTAATACTTAAAGCTAGTGTATATTTATTTTTTTCTAAATTAATGATTCTCAGGCTGGGCCAAAGGAGCACATTTCGGTTACCTTAAGGAGGAGATAACAGAAAACTAGGAAAGATGTCCTCAATAATGTAAAGAAAATTTTCCTATATATATAGATAGAGGACTTAGATACCTTTTTTCTACATCACACACATATATATATGGCTGTGCTATGTTTTTACCTCACTTTTTTATCTAAAATTTTTAATCTATTTAACATTTTATTTAAAAATTAAAAACAAAATTTTTCTTTTTTAAAATTTTAAAATATTCTCACATCAGAATTTTAAATGTTCTTTAAAACACAAAAATTTGCACTTCTGCGGGGGAAGAAAAAGAGATCTAAATTACACTTTAAATATTCCAGTATCCCCAAATTCTTTCGTTGCCCTCCACTGTATCCTAAACAGAGATTACTGCACTTGGTCATCATTGTGAAGTCTTTAAGAAAATAAAAAAGTAGGGCTTCCCTGGTGGTGCAGTGGTTGAGAGTCCGCCTGCCGATGCAGGGGACGTGGATTCGTGCCCCTGTCCGGAGGATCCCACATGCCGCGGAGCGGCTGGGCCCGTGAGCCGTGGCCACTGAGCCTGCGCGTCCGCAACCTGTGCTCCGCAACGGGAGAGGCCACAACAGTGAGAGGCCCACGTACCGCAAAAAAGAAAAGAAAAGAAAAAAGTAAAATAGAACTGGAGATAATAAGAGTCTTTGCACTGACTCTAAGGGACCTAGAACAAAGATTGATTGCCATGACCGCTACAATTACATATTAGATGACCCAGATTAGGATAAGCAATGGAACTAGCATATCACATGCATTTAAGTGTTTAATACCTTGTTACACAAGGAGCAGCATCTGTCATCTGGCCGTATATGTGGCACAAACACTCAGCCTTGGCAATTTTGTGCTACTGGGTAACAGAAGCAGAGCATTTGGGATTCAGGGTGGAAGTAGGGGACTGGGAAATCTTGGCCTGAACCTAATAACTTTTAAAACTTATTTTTAAAATCACAAATTCACATTTTAAATAAAAACTGCCCCAGAGAAGTGCTCTACAGAAGACTCTGCTAGTCTAAGATATTACTTTTAACTAATTTTAACAAATAAATATATATATAGCTTTCTCTCTGGGAAGCCCAAGCAAGGGATTCAATTTATATCATCTAAAAACAGCTAGTAATTCATTACATACATTTTACATTCAACATAAAGAAGACCACAAGCTTCCATAGCTCTGACGCTAGATTTTTATTTAAATTTAACTCAGGGGGAATTTCTTGGCGATCCAGTGGTTAGGACTCTGCACTTTCACTACGGTGGACCTGGGTTCAATCCCTGGTCGGGGAACTAAGGTCCTACAAGTCTGGTGGCAAAGCCAAAAAAAAAAATTAGCTCCGTTATCTCTCTTTTTTGCGTGTGTGACTTGTCTTTTTTTGTTTGTTTTTTGTTTTGGCTGTCTTTCTTTTTAAAGTTTCGGGGTTATTGTAAGTTCAGGCTATCATCTTAGCAAATACAGTTTATTGTACATTGGGCCAACTTCTATTCAGTGTCACAAAAAATAAGTCAGATACTTCTGCTCTAGGTGTTGGGGGTGGGAGAACACAACCATTACTTATAATTTGCTTCTAGCACTGAGGTTGTACGTTCTACTATAAGCCGATATGAAAACACCGACCAGGAAATGACTAATTCAAGCAGAGGATGTGACATTTGAAGGAACACTGGGGAAGGAATTGTGGAGTGAGCCTTCCACACAGAGGAAGTTGCATGAGTAAAGCACTGAAGTCTGCCCGGGTTATTCAGGGTACCTGCATCAGAGGGTGTAGGGCTCTTTCGGTGATAAACAGGGAAGGGAAATTGGAGTCAGAATCTTGACAAGCCCTGAATATTGTTCTAAGGGGCTGCTCAGGAGACCTACAGCCTTGGCACAATATCTTAGACCAATTCTGGAAGTGGCGTGGAAAAAAACTAAAGAGGAGAGGATGGAAAGGCATATGCTCCCCAAAGTTCCATATTTATATTTTGGCAACCTCCATTTAGAAGGGGAAAAAAGAAAAGATCCATTGGTACTGCACCTAAGTTTTGTTTTCTTTTGAGATATGTGTTACTGTGAACTGAATTATGTTTCTCTCCACTACCCCTTCCCTCCCATCCATATCTTGCAGCCTCTGGCTCAGTGTGATGTTGTTTAGAGATGGCGCCTTGGGGAAGAAATTAAATAAGACCGTTAGCGTGGAGCCCTCACTGTGGGATTAGTGTTCTTCTAAGAAGAGACACCAAAGAGCTTGGTCGCTCTATTTCCTCCTCGGGGGGACACTGCTAGAACGAGGCACCATCTGCAAGCCAGGAAGAGAGCTCTCACCAGATTCTGACCATGCCAACACCTCGATCCAGCCTCCAGAACTGTGTGAAATAAATATCTGTTTACCCCACCTGACCTATGGTCTTTTGTTATGGCAGCCTGAGCTAAGACAAGTATTTTTTCAGATAAAAAAGTTTGAGAAACGTACTTTTAAATACCTAAAATACCCTGGAAGGAGATGCAACAAACTAATAACAATGGGCTTGTGTGGAGTGGAATAGTGCCTGGGGCACAGAGGTGGGAGGGAGGCTTTGGTAGCTTTTGAATTTTGAACCATGTGAGTGTATGGTTCAAAACTCAAAAGCTAGTCACCTTAGTCCAAAAATGAATGAAAGGGTAAATGGATGAATGTATGAAGGAACGCATGCATGAATGAATCTTGCCAAGGCTTCTTTTGCTACTGGATAAAATTCATAAAAGTTTCTAAAATAAACATATCCAAAAGGAAAAGACTGTTCTTTTACATTAATTCAGAAAGTAAAACAGTGGAAAAAAGCAAGACACATAGTTTCAAGACCTTTTAATCACAACTGAAAACACTGAACTCTCATGGCTGTTCCTCAGACATTTCTCTGATAACAAAATAATGGGGTTTTTTAATAAATGTTTCAAACAATTCCATAAAAAAAAGTGTGTCACATAGCATACAGAGTGAAGTAAGTCAGAAATATAAAAACAAATATCGTATATTAACGCATACATGTGGAACCTAGAAAAATGGTACAGATGAACCAGTTTGTAGGGCAGAAATTGAGACACAGATGCAGAGAACAAATGTACGGACACCAAGGGGGGAAAGTGGCGGGGGACGGGTGGTGGTGGGATGAATTGGGAGATTGGGATTGACATGTATACACTGATGTGGATAAAATGGAAAACTAGTAAGAACCTGCTGTATAAAAAAATAAATTCAAAAAAAAAAAAGAAAAGTGTGTCACATACAATCTCCGTGCCTCCACCCTCATTTCCTCAACAGAAGACAGACAGAGGGATCACTGCTAACATTTTGGTACTTTATTTTTTTTAATTTTTAATTTTTAAAAATTTCCCTCACCTATTTCACTCATCCTCCTACCTCCCTCCCCTCTGGCAATCACCTGCTTGTTCTCTGTATTTATGACTCTTTCTGCTTTGTTATATTTGTTCATTTGTTTTTAAGATACATACAACTGAAATTGTATAGTGTTTTTCTTTCTCTGTCTGACTTATTTCACTTAGCATAATACCCTGTAGGTCCATCCATGTTGTCGCAAATGGCAAGATTTTATTTTTTATGGCTAATATCCCATTGTACACATATACCACATCTTCTTTATCCACTCATTTCAAGATGGGCGCTTAGGTTACTTCCCATATCTTGCCTATTTTGAATAATGCTGCATGAACATAGGGGTGCATATATGTTTTCGAATTAGTGTTTTTGTTTTCTTTGGAAAATTACCCAGAGGTGGAATTGCTGGACCATATGGCAGTTCTACTTTTAATTTTTTGAGGACCCTCCATAAATGTTTTCCTTAGTAACTGCCCCAATTTACATTCCTACCAACCGTGCAGGAGGGTTCACTTTTCTCCACGTCCTCACCAACACGTGTTATTTGTTGTCATTTTGATAATATTCATTCTGATATCTCACTGTGGTTTTGATTTGCATTTCCCTGATGGTTAGTAATGTTGAGCATCTTTTCATGTGACTGTTGGCCATCTGTAGGTCTTCTTTGGAAAGATGTCTATTCAGGTCCTCTGACCATTTTTCAATGGCATTGTTTTTTGTTTTGGGGGTTTTTTTAAATCAAGTTTCTTTCACATATGAGCTGCTTGTACTAATACTCTGAGTTTATGCCCTACAAACACAGCAATTGTGGAAGATTCTAATTTACGGGATTCTAAATATTCCAGATCCCAAAAACTGTCTGATGCATTTATAATTGTTCATGCTGTGTTAACGAGCGTGTTCCTAATACAAGAAAAGTTCATTTTAGAGGAGGTAATGATATACTACAGTATTGAAAACTCTCTCTTTCATTGCTTCCACTATATCCTTAAGAGAGATTTCTGCTCTTGAACATCATTCTTAAGTCTTTAAGAAAATAAAAGAGTGAAACAGAGCTGAGGTTAATAAGAGTCGTCTGGTAAGGTTTTCTCTTTGCACTGATGGGATATGTAGATATAATTTTACACATCTGATAATTGGAAGAATTTTCCACAGATTAGCTTTTCCCCTATTACCCACTACCCACTTATTTCCAGTTCAGATAACATCTCTTGCCCTATATCTTCATTTCGAGATGCCTGGAGGGTGAGCAGAATGGATGGAAGGAGTTGTCCCAGAAGCTTTTCTTATATTAGGACTGCTGGGAGTAACTTGGAAGTGTGAGATAC